TAATAATGCAAGATAAATCATGTTATTAAATAAATTAATAAATATAATATTTTATATCTTAATAAATTAAAAAAAATTAATTATTAAATAATATAAAATTTATTTTTTAATATTTTAAATGATATCACTTAGGCTAGATCATTGGTCCCATAAAATCTATCCCTATTAATATTGTTTTAAGATTTGGTGCAAGTTTAGTCCGAAATTTCGTAATAAGTTTTTTTTTTTCCTGACATTTAATAAAATTAAATGTTTTCATATTTAAAATATCATAATATTTAATAATACTTATATAATAAATTTAATAAAATTAAAACTCACATCATATCATATCTCATGTATTAATCGCAGTGATTAGACGTGGATTTTTCCTTTCTCCTTAAACTCAACTTTTCTAATACAGGGTGTACTTCATATCTTTTTGGCTCAAATCCTGAATCTACCTCCAACTATGGGGTTAAGGATAGATTAACCCTTTAATTAAATATAATGACAAATTGTCCTTTTAATTAATTAAGTTAGATAAATAACCTAAAATTACTGACATCACATTACATTAGCACTGATAAAGAAGCCACGTAAGCAAAAAAAGTAATAGCTAATGTCATGTGGTAATATTTTAAATTTGGAATTATTTCATTGTCTAACTCAACTAATTAAAGTGATAATTTATTCATATATTCAATTAAGGAGTAAATCTGATCCTACCCTATACTTAAGGGGGTAGAGTTGAAAGTTTAGCCTATCTTTTCACTAACCTTTTTAATATCAACATTTTATCATAAATAAAAAATATAGATTAATTCCTTCCCTTAAAAAATTTATAATCCCAATCAAATTTTATTACAAAATTTACTATTTCTTTTATACAATATTTTCTTAATTACTTTTTAGTAAAAATATTTTTAACAAATTGGACCTAAAACCAAAAAGGTTATTAATGTAAGTAGAAAGTTATGAGTTAGAACTTAGAAGGCAAACAGGAGGGGAGAGTTAAGATATTTATGGAAATGATATTCTCCGTTCTATAACACAAAATTAAAAGAATTTAAAAAGTTAAAGTAAAAAGTTATATTTGTATTTATTTTTTAAACAATATCTCTAGTAAATTTGTCCCAAGAGTACATCTTTATTAAGGTGTTAAATTATATATCCGTTAGCTTTGACGGTAAAATTAACACAGTTCGATGATCATGAAGGGGGCATTTGGAATCGTGGATGAAAACTTTTTCTTGTAGTTATATAATATTTTTAGATATAAATGAGTTTAGTAATTTTTTTTAAATTATTTTTTTTAAAACTGTAAAAAATTACAGTAGATCTATAATAATTATATATATAAAATTAAAAACTTCATTTTAAAATTTTTTATTGTAATTTTTACAAAGAACACCTAATATTTAAAATATATATATAATTATCCATTAAAA